AAACATGGACCAGGGAAAGCTTAATGCGGTTGTTTATATTGATCTAGCGAAGGCATTTGATACAATAAGTCACGGGATATTGCTCGAGAAACTCCGCATTTACGAGGTTGATACAAATAGTTTATCCTGGTTTCAATCATATTTGCAAGATCGCAAACAAAAATGTTGTGAATGGTGTTCTATCCGACGAACGTACCATTAACTGCGGTGTGCCTCAGGGGTCAATTCTTGGACCGTTATTGTTTCTCACATATATTAACGATCTTCCTCAGTGTCTAAAACATTCTACAGCTCGAATGTACGCTGACGATACAAACATCGATTCGACAGTCGAGACTACGACAGGAACATCCATTCGAGAAATAGTAACACATGCTAATGATGACCTAAATAATGTAAGTGACTGGCTGAAAACAAACAAACAAACTCAGCCTTAACGTGACCAAAACTGAGTACATGTTCATTGGATCAGATCAAAACCTTGACAAGTTAAGAGATGTACCATTACTATTTCTTGAAAACAAAGCTATAAAAAGGGTCAAAGCAACCAAGTCATCAGGGGCACATATTGATGAAAGACTAACATGGCACGAACACATTCAAAATATTTCAAAAAAAGTAGGTGCTGGAATTTCAGGTTTAAGGCGGGTAAGGGAGTTTGTCCCATTATCGACATTGTTAACAATTTATAACTCATTGATACAACCATTATTTGATTACTGCGATGTTGTTTGGGACAGCCTTCCTGCTGCTAGTGCTATAGCATTCTACAAAAGTTGCAAAATCGTGCCGCTAGAGTTATTACTCATTAAGGTTATAATGTCAGATCCAATGAAATAAGGAAAACACTACACTGGAAAACTCTTGCTGAAATGCGAGACACACACAAATTAACTCTGATGTATAAGATATTAAACAATTTGGCACCAAAATATTTAAGAGACCATTTTGAAATGTCTGCCATAGATAATTTTTATACATTAAGAAATAGAAAATTATGCCTTGTACTACCAAAGCCTCAAACTGAATATTTAAAGAAAAGCTTTGCATTTTCAGGGGTAAAATTGTGGAATACTTTACCTGAAGATATAAAATGCAGCAACAGTTTGAGTCAGTTTAAACTAGGGATCCAAGGATAGTGCAATGTTTCTGAAAACTTGAAAAGTCAATACGGTAATATCAAATCTTTCAAAAATATTGTTCATAGTTTTGCAATTCATTTGTCCAAATGATGCGGTTTGCGAATGCAAAACTGTTGCAAATTAATTTTGTTGTAAATTACCAGTAAGCTTGAAGTAGACGGAATTTTGAACTTTTAGATGAACTTTTGAACTTATTACAGCCATTTTCGCCGTCCAACCATACCACAAGTCGCAAAAATATCCGACCGTTTGTTTACGTTTGTGACGTAGCTAACAGTAGCTGCCGGAAGCTACATTTTTAATGTCGTACATGGATGTCTCAATTGCTTATATACATAACACGGTATCAAAAAATTAGTTTTGTCGATATTCCTGTATATTATTTTGTAGCATTTCAATTTGTTTAATATACAGAACGCAGACAAAATTATACCTTTGATAAGATTAGGCCGAAAATTCGGCCACATCACACATTAATTAATTGCCAAATTAAACAGTAAAATTTGCCAACTTGGCAACTTTTTATAAACGCAAACATTGTCATTGACATTGTATTGAAATAAATGTAACACGATGACCTACGAACTGTACCTAAGACATAATAAATTTTAATCTTGAATTCAATTAAATTTATTGAAACAAAGGCTTTGTTATTAAAAGCTAGTATATCTCGATTTATAGTATTATGCCATCAGCAAACTTCGCGCTTGTTATTATCCTTTTACTTCAATTAATACGGCACAAAAACCAAATATCTTAATATCTCTCATACATTCATGCAAGTCATATATAACTATCCATATCAGTAAAACTCATTGCGGCTGTCTGCATGTGCACAGGCTACAATATGCGGGCCTTCAATAAATGAATGAATAATTAAAACAATATTACAAAAAATTCTGTCAAATTCTGCGACACCTATTGACGGTTGTTCACAGACTGTATGTACTATGAGACTATACAGCACGCAAATTATATTTTTATATCAGAAAAATGCTGTTTTTATATGACTATGCTTTTATTGCAGATTAATTTTCATATAAAGATAGATTAGGGTTGAAATTATAGATTTAATATAGACGATCGAGCGTGCTATAAATGTGAAACTAGAGTTTAATACTATAGACAAACATTTATATATAGACATGATATATTGATATTGCATGTTATACTGCACGAGGATATTATATTTCATGTTATTTATAAAGTAACGCGTCTGCCTATACTGGCTACAGTCATAGAAAGAATAAAATATAGTTGTACAACTAAATTTCGTGACATAAATTGAGCTACGAGATTTAAATTGAAATATTCCTATAAAGAAAATCATAAATAGACATGCAAAAACTCGGGCTTCGTATGAAATGCAGCGAGTTGAAGCCCCGAAATAGAGTCTAAAATTGCATCGAAATAATACATACCCATGTTAAATCGTTTGCCCAAGGCCTGTTCTAAAATTTCGACCAACACTCATACGCGTCGTCATATTTATTTGTGCGCGTTTATTTTGCTGACTTGCAGTTCTCACGAAAATTTGATGATACGGGGGGTGCTAATGGCACGAATCCCCATATCTCAGTAAACTTTAACATTGCTGTAATGTCGACCTTTAAACATTGATCGTCAAGCTAAATCAAATTTAAGAAATTTTACTGTTGCTATAAATACCGTTTTAACGTTAAAAATTCTCCAACCTTGAAGTTTTTTTAGATATGGCATTGGGATAACATTTGCAACTCCCCCCGGAAAGTTTACTCTATGTATCTCTCGCTTGAATTTCGCCACTCATCACAATAGTGCAACGTTTCCATGGAAACATTGCACTAAAAAAGGGCAATAATCACATCATCAGCTTCTAGCTAAAAATGTATATATATTCGGCTTTCTTGTAAAGCAGTGCTATATGCACTGAAGAGTTTCCGAATTCAAATAAATATCTCTGACACTTGTTGACAAGTTGTGAGATTTCTACGTGTTACAATATAGCCATTACTTACTTTTTCACGCTGTTGGTCCAGCGTCCCACAACGCCTTCTTCCTTCCTTCAAATAAAACAACAAAATATAATATTTATACATTGAAGAACCGGGCCATCCAAACAGGGAAACCATATGGTAATAGACGTCTGTGTTAATAAACGTAGCAAAGGATTATCCATCAATGAAAACTATACCTGTTTATTTTCGATCTATAGAATTAAAGTTCAAGAAAAGTATATTTCAATCCGGAGAACTTTAATTAATTGTATTTAGTATATATTTAGTATATATTTAGTATATATATATATAGACATGTATATATATATATATATATATATATATATATATATATATATATATATATATATATATATATATATATATATATATATATATATATATATGAAAATTTATTTAATCTTAAAAATAATACATGTGGCTACTCAGAGTTTTATGCACTTTCGCAATCTTCCGAAAATCTCAGGTGCATTAATGCCTGGCTCCAATTTCGTAAGGAGTTGGAAATAGAAAAATCTTTAAAAATTAATTAAAAATTAACAAAGTAAACTACGACTCTTATTTTTTGATGAGATGTTGGAAATCAACTGCCGATATTTGTCAACTATTTGGTTTCCATGGAAACTGGTCACGTGACAAGGTATGGGCGGTGATAATGGAAATTAAGTTAATGTTTATAAACACGGCTTGCCGACTTACTAAACTTTCATGGATATGTACAAAAATATTATCACGGAATCTTTTACTCTTATACTGCAATGTGGTAATGAGGAACTTAAAGATCATGCCACTGATATGAAAATATTACTGTGGATACAACAATGTCTCGCACAATGTCAATATAATTTGCACTAAAACGATCGTTCCAGATCACAATGCTTACAAATCTAATTGTAGGACCAAAGTTAGCTGTACCCTGGACAAAATCTACGTATTAGCGACCGACATTGTTTTGTCTAGCCGGCAAATCGAACGCGTTTTTTGCGTGATGAATTCGCGCTCGCCATTATCATTAATATAGGCCCCTGCCGTGAAACAAAATATTATGAAATACCAATACACAATGACTGATGAACCATTTGCAACTAGTAAGTAGTGTATTCAAATAATATGCGAGGAACAGAGAGAAAAATATGTACCGAAGTACACACGTAGAATATGATAAGTACATATTTTCGTTTATATATTGAGAGAATATATTCGACAGGAGTCTGAGTCTTTATATGAAGGGATATTATATTTCAACAACAACATTTATTGCGCCCTCAAGTCTTTAAGAGAAATATGTCACACTTAAACATCCTCACCCCCAAAAAGTTTGAACTATCCATATGCTCAGTACTTATTTGTATTTTAAATTATTTTCTGTGAATGTGAAACTAAAGAAGAATCACAAATCGATGTTGAATAATTGAGACAAAAAATCCCGCAATAGCGTTGTATACCAAAGTTCAAAGGTCACCGCACATCGCAAAATATGATATATTATACTATACAGTATACAACGGCCAATTCTACAAGAAAAACTGATAATTTTCTCATCCCTGCTGGTTGCTATAATCTAACATAATATGAAATAATCCAACAGCTCATAGTTATTAAATTTCAGTTTCATCCGAACGCCAAAACGCAGTCAAATGGCAACACGCTGGATATGTTGAATCGCGCGCGCAACTCGCGCGGACATATCAAGTCAGCGTGAGTAGAGCTAGACGAGAAGCCAGTCAGCTCCAGTTTCAGATTCGCAGCTCCAGTTTCAGATTGAATCTGGAGCCAGAGGCATGGCGTTCGTGTTCGAATGGCTCTAACTCCACAAAGCCTTCACCCATCTTAACAATAATTTTTTTCATTCTTCTTCAAGAAAAGGACTATCATATAACGCAATCCCGAAGTCGCTACTGCTTCTAGATTGCTCTAAACAGCTTGCATAAGTCAAGTCGCCAAACCGTGTCGGGTCAATTAAATCTTGAGCAAGACACGGTTAGTTCCTATCTAAATCTCTGTATCGTCGTAAGGAATAAATGTAACGCTATAATAATTTTTTTCATTCTTCACTGATAATTTGCACATCACCTAAAGCATTCGGCTTGTCTGTAGCGCTTTTAGATTTCTCTGGAGGCCTCGCATAAGTTATGTCACCGAACAGCGACATATTGATGGAGACTGCAAACACGCGTGCCGCTTAGCGATTTAAAACGCTCGTTCTCCGCCACAAGTTACTTTATCGTCATAATATTTTTTTTCATTCTTTTCCTATAATATTCGCATCATATGAGATTATTTCTAAGCTTATACCGATTTAAACTTTGACTGAACAGCTTGCACAAGACGAGTCGTCGAACAGCTACATATATCACTTACCGCAGGTCAGTCGACAAGTCAACATACTAAAAACGCTCTATCCCAGCCAAAAATTAACATATCCTTTAAATATTATTTTTCATTCTTCCCTGATAAATTACACATTATTTAAAAAAATCAGCT